TCCCTGAGGACAATTCTGAAGATTCACAAGCTGCAGCTCACCTCTTGACTGTAGAATGAGTAGTTGCACTTGAGTAAAAATAACTCAAAGTCCAAGTGAAGACTCTCAGCATTATCAGATCATCAAGTTACAGTTCCAGATTTGCTACGCTTGTGACGAGGGTTGTCTTGAAAATGACGGTTCCACTATATCTGTCATAAAGGAATGCCAAATCTTATTTAAAAGTGTCTGGAGCTTCTAGTAACAATAGAAGAAGACATTTCTGACATTTGCAAAGGAGTGGGATACAATCTGTGTAATAATTTTAAGGAGTTTTCTCTAAGAAAACTGTAAAAAAAAAACATTCTAAGGGTCATGATTCCCAGATCTTATTCCAATCCTTGGGAAGAATTTATGTGCCAATATCTAGGTCCTATATGTTTTTAAGGGGTTCCTGAGATCCACGAGTTATATTAATCAATATAGAGTACAAATTAGAAAGGAATCCTTTCCCCTCTGTACCAATAGTCTTTCTCCTCCTGCCTGTTGAGTTCTTCTGAAGAAGCCCTGATATTTCAGGGTCTGGGAAAAGCGGGTAGGAGCTGGTAGAATATCTTTCATGTTCAGATCCACCAAGCTTCTTCTGTCTATTCACCTTTATGAAGAAATGAGGGGTGTTTTTGGTTTTTGTTATACTAATATTATATAGCAATTTCTTTTGGGTGGTTGTTTAGGAATCATTTTGTCTTAAAATTGACATCAGTTTCAATACTCACTTGCAAAGCTGAAGTGTAAGGACTAGGTTTTTCTTTTCTTTTTGCTAAATAGCTCTACAGACCCTGGTCCATTGAGAACAAAATCTGGTGGTTGTCCTCCATTGCAGACAGAAGGATGTAATGAATGAGGGCAACACAAGCAAGACTTGTGGGTGGGATGGGAATATCGACTGGAGGGTTGTGGTTTGTTTTTTCTTCAAGTACATGCAATGTGAAGCTGAGGTCCATAGTCATGGATTCTGGTATCATTTACATTGGATATGCATGACGTGTTTGTTGGGGAGCTGTGGGTATATATATTTTCAGAAACTGAAAAATTCGGTTATCAGAAGCCCTTTAAAAAACCCTAATGTTTGAAATGGGCTTTCCTTACCCACTCATTTCTCTTCTGTGTCTGATGAATAGAAAAGAGAGTCTACAGAATTGGGAACAGCCTTTAATAGTACTGGGTGAAGGGGAGAGAGACAGAAAGAAGAAAAGGAACCAGTACTTTGACAGATTGTTCATTAAATGTCCCTTTTATTGAGAATTATAAAAACAAGGTGCTTAACACTGCTGGGTCATTAATGTGATACATTAAAAGGTTACTGTCAAGATAATTTTTCAGTTCTGAAAATTGACGGTAAGGGTTTATAGACAGTGCTCTTAATATTCTGCTTCGAAGATAAGGTATCTTTTAACTTGCCACTTGACAAAATCATTATGTTGTTATAAGCCTACTCGTGGAGAGTGTGATTAATGTTAAAGCATAAATAAAACCTTATTTGAAGTGGGGTGGGGGGAGATTTGGGTTGCTTATAGCAAATCCTAATTTAACAGATGTTGACTTGTGTACAAGGTGGTGATGTGGAAATACTGAGTGACAGGTTAGTATACAATTAACCTTGTTTAATTCTTTCATTGTCTTCCACCTACAGTGTGGCATTTCAAATCCACGCTTCCTTTCCAATAGAATTAGGGGGAACCCCTTTGCTGACATTAATTAGCATTCGTGATACAAATAGCCATCTTTTCAGGTATTTGTGAGATCTCCATTTTTCAAAAGATTTTTTTTAAAAAAAAACTCCTAGAAATGTGCTGGCAACACATGGATGGGAAGAAATAAGAGAAACTCTCTAGCAAGCTCCGTGCATAAAAGGAATATTGCATCTTGCACACTCCTGATTACCCTGTATAAACAGCTTTTGACATCTGTCTTTATAGTTTTTGAGGAGAGGAAGACTTTGTTAAAAGAACCATTTTTGTATAGCAGTCACCATTTCAGACTTGCTTTACCTGTAATATGAAAGCAGATGGTCTGCATGTCTTTTGAATATTTATAACTATCAAAAACAATCTCTTGTTATTCACCCTTAGGCTTATGAGATGTCAGGACTGTTCTAGTTGGGGGGAAATCATCTTGGGTGTTTACAGAAAGAGGATTACATTGAGCTGAAATGACTATACATTTTCCAGTTTAATATTTGTCCATCAGCTGTTTAATCGTATTTAGATAATTGTGTAAATAAGTTGTTGTAGCCCTTGCCCCCTCTGCTGATAGAGCTTGAAAGCTTTCAAGAACAATGAGCCAGTTATATAAATGATTCTTTTTCATTTCCAGTTTAAACAATCAGAAAGGACTATGAAAGTTCTGGCTATGATACTTTTGGAAGGGCATACTTTTCACATGCAAAAATAGACTAAATATCTCTCTCCTCAATATCTTAGAACATCTATTTCTTAAGTTACCTCCTACGTCAGATGGCACTTTTTTGTAAATTCGTATCTTCTTTGATGAAGCTGTTCTTGGTCTTCTTTACAGATATGTAAAAAATTATACTTAAAAATGGCGAGTGGGGCGGCGGCGTGGAATTTGGGGACAGTGGAGGATAAATGGTTTTGTGACCTGAAGCTGAGCAATCACAGATAACAGATTTTGTAGTGGCTGGTTGATTTGGCAGCAAAGCATGAACAGTTTTGGTTTAGATGATTGAACTGACCTGATTAACGTTGTTTTTTCCATTGCTTCCCAGAATGAACAACAATGCATTTTTAATCATAAGCCATTTACGATGAGAGAACCTACAGGTCATAGTTAAGAAAGGCCCTCTATAATATGCTGTACTGGTTGATGAAGATTGGATCAGATATAAAAGTACACCTAGGGATAAATCTTCTCTTGTCTTATGAATAAACAATATATATAAAAAAACAGACGAGAGACCTCAGGTCTTCCCCGCCCCTTTAAATCACAAAATGTATACGAAATTACTGCGATGCCATCTTATCCCATATTATGCGAGGCTAGGATTCAGAATATAGGATACATTTTAAAGCTGTCTAGATGAAGCAAAAATGAACTTGGGTGGGGGGTGGGAATCAATCCCTATTGCCACATAGTTATGGAAGAGATAATTATAAATAATGTATTTGGCTGTAAAAGAAAGCTCAGTCTGTGGCAGATGGTAGCATCCCAGTGTAGTAGGGCTTTTGGAAAGGTGGCACCATTTCAGATCAAATCTTCATCAGACTCTCAGAAAAAGAACTACAAGTACTGTGCATGTATAAATTTGGGTACTTTTTGATCTTAGAGACACATATCAACTCAAGCAATTTCGCAGTGGATGTGCAGAGACACACAGATCTGTCGGCAGTTTAAATTGTCCAAATTTTTTTCCCTTTCCCAGGAAAGGGCAAAAGCTGTTACCAGTGTCACTATCTGTGACACTATAACTTGCTATATTTTATGCTATTTCTTTTTTGCCTGTATTTTAAAGCTTTTTGCAGCCATAGGCAGCACAGAGAAAACAACTGAAAATACGTCTTTGCAAATCTTTTTTGCCAACTAGCAATATTTAAGTTAACTTTAGAAGTATTTGAAGCGGAAAGAAAAATGGTAAAAGCCAGCTACGGAAAAATCTCAGTGCGAACTTTTAAATGTATTGCAGTGTTATATTCTCTTGGGAGTTGTATATTTGAAAGATAATATATATATATGAAAAAGTCCTTTTCATGTGAAATTGAATGAACACAAGATTGCCTTGCAGAGAGTTGACAACAGTAATCTTTTAGCTGTCTTTCTGATATGATACTTAGCTAGCACGTGACAACAGGATTGACAGCCGCCTGTCATTTTATAGACTTGAAAAGTCCCACAGGTGTTAATTCTCATGATGTCTTTATCTTGGCACTCCGATTTTGGACTTCCATGATTTCTGCCTCATGCCATTGCTTCACCATACACAGTCCTTGTACTGTTTTGATCCCTACCCCTTTATAGATTGATAAAGGACATGTAGTGTTACAAACAAGGTAGTTATCTGATCAAGCCCCTCTGGTTCATTGTAAGAGTTATGATTAAAGAAACTTAGATGGCTTGTCACCCATCTGTAAGGATGGGAAGAAGGACTAATGTACTGTGCCACACCCAACAGGTAAATTGTGTTGTCCTCTGAAGGTGAGGGATGGAGTTGCAAATCGGGGGGGGGGGATGCAACTTCACTTTAGTACCTGGTATAACAAGCTCAACTACTATCTCTGTTATGAGTGGAGGGTGGATCCATTCAGATTCATCTTAATGTATTAAATTGATATATTTCCTTGCATATGTTAAGGATTATTTCCTATTGAGCCTGAAAACTGAAAATAGCACTTGATTAGTGGGGGAAGTAGGGGATAAAATTATTCTAGAAATTTATTCTTTATAGAAATACTATTAGAATTTTAGGTGTGCATAATTAAATAATACCAGATGAATATGATGCAAAAATTGAATCTTGTAGCTTCCTTCAATAAGACTTATAAGCAGATATCTTTGACCATTCATTATAAATTGCCGGGTTTGCCATTTTTCCCTAGGTGGGTGTACCTGTGTTTACATAGTCATGTGAGAAGATCGTGCAAGCTTTGATTTTGTTGCATTTTCTTGCCCTGGAATCCTCATAACATAGCAGCTTTAAAATGTGTCAAAACAAAACTTTACATGATTTTTAACACAAGGGAGAATATGTGTTGTCTTCCATTAATGTATATTTGTGTGGAAAAACAGCCCCCAGAGGGTCATGGGCTAGATAAAAATATGACAAAATTTTTGCAAGTGATGCTACGCTGGTATTTCTGTCAAAGATACTGGCACAACTAGCAGGGATCTAAAGAATTAGAATTCAATATAGTATTGAGTCTTAAAATATTATCCATCAGATAATTAAAATAATGTCTTTTGTTAAACATCTCAATAATACAGATGCTTTTGCCCTCCTTTTTCAGAGTATGATTTCTTCCATTGTGAACAGCACTTACTATGCAAATGTCTCGGCAGCAAAATGTCAGGAATTTGGGAGGTGGTATAAACATTTCAAGAAGGCAAAAGATATGATGGGTAAGCATAAAGATAAGAGCTGAAGTAATGGTGACTACTTGTTTATGATTTGAAGCACTTTTAAGCTTATTCAAATTCTGGAAACTTGGACTTGTTTTTGCTAATATGTACAAGAGATGAGAGAAAGTTTTCCTGCTCCCGGAACACTTTTTGTACAGTATAGCCAAGGAAGAGGAAGAAAGCTGTGTAAATGCTTGGATGTTAATAATGTGTAGTTTTAAAAATTAGCATTCATTAATATTGGCATACTGACACCTGTTAGCTTTCTCAAAGTTTTAGAAATAAAAAAGGGAATCGTAACATTTTGAATACTGAAAACATTTCAGATTTTAAATCTGTCATGTGGCCATCATAGCTGAAATAATAATAATGGCCGTATGTTAAAATACTGGTTTAAGAAAATAATCTCAATTTAAGAAAGACTAAATTCACCATATTTTTTGGCTCATGGTTTCTCAGTGAATCCTGTAGCCAAAGGGTTCTTTTGACTGTATGTATGCACCATGATTGTCCCTGCATCTCCATTACGATGTTCTCCTCCACATCACAGGGTTTACTGAAACATGGGGCTAATAACTTTTGAATGTGCCAAACACCCTGGAGTGAAAACAGAAGTCAATTCCTATTTGAAGCTTCATGTTTCTATGAAGTCAAATCCAAGAGTCCAGTGATGGATGTCTATATATAATCTGATCCAAATTGCTTTGCAGTCAGTGATAGAATTTACATTACAGTGGTACCTCGGGTTAACTACTTAATTCATTCTGGAGGTCCGTTCTTAACCTGAAACTGTTCTTAACCTGAAGCACCACTTTAGCTTGGGGCCTCCTGCTGCTGCTGTGCCGCCGGAGCACAATTTCTGTTCTCATCGTGAAGCAAAGTTCTTAACCCAAGGTACTATTTCTGGGTTAGCAGAAGTGTCTGTAACCCGAGGTACCACTGTAGTTAAGCCACCCCTGGCCATTTATCTCAACATTTGTGTGCCTTTTCTAAAATGGAAAAACCATTCACCAGAACATCACATAAAACCACAATCTGTACCAAAACACTAACTGGATTAAGGTCCAGCTTTATCTGTGCAAGACCTAGTTAGACAGGGATTAGGACGTAACAGTTTGCCAAAATATGCTTTTATTAAATTATATTACTTTTTTTGAAAAGTTAAGCTTAGATAGTGAAAATATAATAATTGTTATATAAATATGCTAGCAGCCATTGACCTGCTACAAGAAGGAAATAGGGGTCAGACTACTGGTGAAATCCATTCATGACTGCCATATTAAACGATGGTTCGCCTGTGATGGTTTGCGCGTGGTGGGACAGCTGTCACAGATAGAGTAACACAGAGAGCCTTCCTATCACTTTGTGCCACATTTTAGCCACATTGTTTTTCATTGGAACCTGCTCACACTTTTAACTGCAAACTGGGTGGTGTAACATTAGTTCATTAACATTAGCGGTCCTATTAAACAATTACCAGGCGGTAAGGGTGGCGCTGTGAGTTAAACCACAGAGCCTAGGACTTGCCGATCAGAAGGTCGGCGGTTCAATACCTCGCGACGGGGTGAGCTCCCGTTGCTCGGCCCCTGCTCCTGCCAACCTAGCAGTTCGAAAGCACGTCAGAGTGCAAGTAGATAAATAGGTACCGCTCCAGCGGGAAGTTAAACAGTGTTTCCGTGTGCTGCTCTGGTTTGCCAGAAGCGGCTTAGTCATGCTGGCCACATGACCCAGAAGCTGTACGCCGGCTCCCTCGGCCAATAAAGCGAGATGAGCGCCGCAACTCCAGAGTCGGTCGTGACTGGACCTAATGGTCAGGGGTCCCTTTACCTTTAAGTCCCATGAATTCATTGGATTCATGAATAAGGGTGGGGCTTAATTCTGAGTTAGGACTAAACTGTAAGTGGCGCTGTCATTTCTACAGCTATTCCTCCCTAGGTATGGCATTATGGAAAAACGTGTGTGAAAACGGGTTGCTGTATATGACCAAGTCTGCAGCACCTGTCAACCGCCACTAGCAGAATGTCACAAATCAGCACCCCACAACAGCAGAAAAGGCTGCCCGCAAGGCTATTGTGGGCAGTTTGCAGCCTGATTTTCACAAGAATTCCTTCACAAGTTTTTCCGTATCCTGGAATGAAAACAGTGGCTATTTAAAAAGTGACGAGGTGTTAAAATATGTACACAAATGTACAAATGAGGCCTGTGTTAACCGAACCACAATTTAATATACAGAAATCACTTGTAACTTCAGGACCTTCCGAAATAAATACTCTGGATTCAGCATTTATTTTCAGTTTTGTTCAAGTTTTTTAAAAGCTTTCCGATGAACATTCAAATGATGGAGCTTCGCATAAGCTTCTGCTATGTATTCTCAAAACCAGATGCGTATGGTTAATAGTATCCAATAACTTTTGAGAGACTGTTGCAGAATTTCATTCCCCATATTAGCTGTGCCATTAGAAAAGAAATGAGTTTTCCACCTCTGCATAGCCAGGGATTTGCTGGCCGTGCTTTTAATAACAGCATTGCATTCACTTTTCCAAATGCTAATAATAATAATAATAATAATAATAATAATGTAACTTGAAAGAAAAATCTTTAAAATACTCTCAGGTTTTTTTGGGGAGGGACTTTAAATAGTAGATGTAAAAAGGAACATGCTGAATACAAAGGTAATTTTTATTGTAATATATGAGAGACGTAAGTTTTTGTAAGCTGAAGCTTTACAGAACTGGTAATGCCAACTGCCCTCTTCTTGGGAGTAAAGAGCTTTCTCAAGTTTTCCAAGAGCCTATTGGCATCCAGCAGGTGCCTTCACGATGCTTTTTTCAGCGTCTGCTAAAATCAGTTTTCTTTAGAGCAGACCTTTCTATCCAGATAGGTAGAATGTTTGTTTACATGTGTTTTAATATTTTTATCACTTATTGCTGATTCATTATTATTTGAGTATTTTAAAGAGCTGTTTTTGCTGATCATTTTATTCTCTTGGCTTTCTTGTAATCCGCTTGGAGATTTTTCTTTATAATAAATGTTATTAAATAAATAATGCATTGTCTATAAAAAAAAATACAGCTGGGAAAATGCTAGCAATGTTTTATTGTCAATGCTCTGTAATCAAATAGAGAATAATCTTCTCATGAAGATTATCAACCATGCTGCTATATATATGCGTGTCTGTAAAAAAATAATCATCATCTAAGTAGTATCTCTCTTTTCCCCCCTCTCCTTCTGTAGCTGAAATGGATAGCCTTTCTGAACTATCCCAACAAGGTGCCAACCACGTCAACTTTGGACACCAACCAGTCCCAGGGAACACGGCTGAACAGCCTCCATCCCCTGTTCAGCTTTCTCATAGCAGTCAACCACCTGTTCGGACCCCACTTCCAAACCTGCATCCTGGACTTGTATCTACTCCCATTAGTCCTCAGTTGGTAAATCAGCAACTGGTAATGGCCCAACTGTTAAACCAGCAGTATGCAGTGAACAGACTTCTAGCCCAACAGTCCTTAAACCAACAGTACTTGAACCATCCTCCTCCGGTCAGCAGATCCATGAACAAGCCGTTGGAGCAGCAGGTCTCAACTAACACAGAGGTGTCTTCCGAAATCTACCAGTGGGTGCGTGATGAATTGAAACGAGCAGGAATCTCGCAGGCAGTTTTTGCACGTGTGGCATTTAACAGAACTCAGGTTAGACTTTTCTTTAAAAAAAAAAAAAGCAAGATTATTATTTTTATTTTATTTTTTGCCATCTCCCCTGTTCATTATTCTATTATTTGCACAAACTTAGACTTGCCGTGATGGATAAATGAAACATTGGTAGATGCAAAATTGGTAGCTTCTAGGAAATGTACTAGGAAATTATGACCACATTTAGCTGCTTCTCCTGCATACCCCCGCCCTTTCTTTCTTTTATTTAGTAACCATGGTTTGGAGAAGTAAACAGTTAAAAAGTGCAACATCTTATAGGTCTTTAAAGCACACTTTTAGTGTAAATAGTTTCTATTATTCCCAGACTTTGGAACATAATTTAAAATTGCACAACAGTGGGCCGATAGGGACATTCAGCCAGAAGTAGCTCACTTCAGTCATAAAGTGCTTTGCATCTATAATGTTTGCAATGCCTAGTCAATTCACTTATTATTTAATGGGCACTGACACATACTATGGCATTAGTCGTTGTACCTGTTATGCTTTGGTTGCAGACTATTGGGGCAACTTTGGAAATTAACAATTAGTGATGCAGCAAGAGATGATGTTGCTGCTACATCTCCTGCCCAGTGTCATCTTGGATGTTGTTGTGTAAAGCTGAGAGAAAAATCCAATAAAAGAGTAGGCAGGAGATGAAGCAATTGTAACCTCTTCTGCTGCACCAGTAGTGTTAAAGCAGGAACCTGTGTCCTCTACAATACTGTTGGACTCCAGTTTCCATCGTTCCTATTTGCTATGCTGATGGGAATTGGAAGTACAGCAAAATCTAAGAGGGTCTGCTCCCCATGTGTTGAAAGAAAAGGGTAGATTCTGCATATTGCAACTGGCAGCCCTAATAATCTTTCCCACTGCCATCCTTGAGTCCACCTCCCCCAACCCACAGAAGCCGAGAAGTGTTCATGAAATATTTGGAACACAAAAATAAATAGCAAGCTTCAACAAGGTTACCTCATCATTCTGAAGCAATGTTCTGCCATTTTTTTGACTCCCCAACAAAGAAACCAAAGGAGAGGAAGAGTGGACCAGACTAGATCAGAGATGCCAATCAAAAAGGAGAGAGATAGGAGCACACAAACTGGCGCTACCCATAAAAGAGACCAAAGAATTATGATAGACATACATGGTAAATGGTAATACGTGATATCAAAACAATGTATGTAAACAGTCATAAATGGCAAAAAATTGGGAAACTGTTGCATTTCGATTTGGATTCTTCTTCTTTGATTTCATGTTTGTACCCCACTTACTTTTCCAAAATGAATCCCAAAGCTTTTAACAAGAACATACCAAAGTAAAAACAACAATATCAAAAAACCGCAACCAGGCAATATGAACAATTGCCTTAACTATAAAAATGCTGGAGTAAACAATCAATAAAATTAATTTTCAGTATCTCAGACAGCATCAGTTCAATTAAGAAACAATGCAAAATTTATAAACTGAATCAATATATTTTGAAAGTACAAAGATTTCACTAAATAAAGAAGGGATAACATAGCACATACTTTCATCAGAAATACTTAAAATTAATCAGAAAAATCTTTATATGCATGGAGAAGTTTCTTCATGCATTGCAACACTGTTTGGTCTTTGTAATCTACATTGGTAGCTACAAAATAAATAGAATAATTATGAAAGAATTAGAAAGCATATGAAAGACAGGGCAGGGGGATCCCCTCAGAATGCTCAGTCACTCATTGCTAAACTGCAAATAATTTCACAGCCAAGCTGATGGTGTCCTTTTCTTGAAAACCTAATCAACTTATTCAATAAAATAAAAATCTTCTGAGTAGAATATACATTCTAAATATATATTCCATATATTAAATTAAAAATATATGGAGAGGGGAGGGTAGCAGGAATGAATTGCCTCCCCAAAAAAGTTGATAGCCCTTTTAAAGGGGTGCCACGTTCTCCATTTGAGTGTTCATCTTTCCCATTTTTGTGGGTGTACCTCTCCTTCCCCCTCTCCGGTGAGCTCCTGTACCAGAAATGGCACATACCCTCCTAATTTGAAACAAACAAACAAAGGTTGTGTCACTGGTATGGGCACCAACCTCATACTGTAGGATAGTGGTGGGGAACCTGTGTTCCTCCAGATTTTATTGGATTTTGCCCTCCCCCCAGGCTCAGCTAACATTCCCAGTGACTGTTGAGTTGTAGTCCAACAACATCCTTGCTGTATATTGTTTGCACATTGGATGACCAAGAGTAATCTCTGTAGTCTGTATCTGTGAAGACTTCAGGAGCAGTCTTGATGCCAGATTGTAGCATGCCAGAGGGATAGTTTTTACTTTGACTGCTCCCTCTCAAGTTCTGACACAACAGCCCAGTTGTTTCTAAGGCTCCAAATGAGCACAGATAGTTCCACCTAGCCCTTCATTTGTTTTCATTAATCTTGCCTCAAACAAAATATTCCCCACTTTTTATAAAGGAAAAATCTTCATAGGACAACCATGATAACCCCATTTTAGTACGGGTTTTAAAAGTCCAGTTTTTCACTTTAGATTTTTTACTTCATCAGTGCAAATCAATGTTTGACTTATTTTTACTGCACAAACTATTAGCAAGGTCCATCAGCCTGAGCTTTGGAAAATGTAACTGCTTTTATTCTTGAGTCGCTCATTGAAAGAATGTGAATTGAAAATATTTGTGATTATTTCCAGCTCTGTGACTTCTACTGAAATGGAGGAAGGGTTTTTTGGTAATATTACATCTGCTGAATTTTAATTAAGTTGAACGTGTGTGAATATAAATTGTGGGATATTTCTGTATGTGGAATTTACGCTACGGACTGAAGTTATTTTTAAATTGTTCTTGGACAACCAAGAACTAGTTTCACTGAAAAAAGCAATTCCGATTAAGGGAGTAGTATGCTTTTTAAGAGCTTAATTTTTTTTGGCTAGTGCACAGAAATTCACTAACAATTGAAGACCATGCAAGTTAGGATAGCCTTCCCCAGCCAGTCTTGTGGTCTGCAGACGTTTTGGGCTACAATATCCATCAGCTCTATCCAGCATGCCATCGGTCAAGGATGATGAGAGTTACAGTCCAACAACATCTCAAAGGCACTGGATTGGGAAGGGTGCCTTACGATTTTTGCTTAAGTAGTAGCTCTCATTTTACTAGTGTGCATATGAATTTTTCTGTAACACTCTTGTCAAAAAAGTTGATGTTGCCATATTCTAGGACAAATTCATGCATCTTTCAGTTGGTACAGACCATGATTTCTGTAATATATATTCCACCATTCCAGAGACGGTGGTTGCCACTGGACCTTGTACAAATAAGGGGCAGGGGGAATATATTTTGTTCTTTTGTGTCCCACTCATCTGTCTTATGTCTTTTCCCTCATTTTTTACATAAAAAGAAACTTTCATGCAGCATTTTAATGTAAAAGATATTAGTAAATAGAGGGTCTATCTAAAAATCAGCTCTGTTAAGGCAAGTTTCAGATATTATGTGTAATACAATATTATATTGTTTCAGATATTATGTGTAATACAAAGAGGTGTTTCATACAGAAGGAACAGATATTTTGATATGTAAGATTTCTTGATTTCTTAGTCATAGAATCATAGAATCATAGAGTTGGAATAGACCACAAGGGCCATCGAGTCCAACCCCCTGCCAAGCAGGAAACACCATCAGAGCACTCCTGACATATGGTTGTCAAGCCTCTGCTTAAAAGACCTCCAAAGAAGGAGACTCCACCACACTCCTTGGCAGCAAATTCCACTGTCGAACAGCTCTTACTGTCAGGAAGTTCTTCCTAATGTTTAGGTGGAATCTTCTTTCTTGTAGCTTGGATCCATTGCTCCGTGTCCGCTTCTCTGGAGCAGCAGAAAACAACCTTTCTCCCTCCTCTATATGACATCCTTTTATATATTTGAACATGGCTATCATATCACCCCTTAACCTCCTCTTCTCCAGGCTAAACATGCCCAGCTCCCTTAGCCGTTCCTCATAAGGCATCGTTTCCAGGCCTTTGACCATTTTGGTTGCCCTCCTCTGGACACGTTCCAGTTTGTCAGTGTCCTTCTTGAACTGTGGTGCCCAGAATTGGACACAGTACTCCAGGTGAGGTCTGACCAGAGCAGAATACAGTGGCACTATTACTTCCCTTGATCTAGATGCTATACTCCCATTGATGCAGCCCAGAATTGCATTGGCTTTTTTAGCTGTCGCGTCACACTGTTGGCTCATGTCAAGTTTGTGGTCAACCAAGACTCCTAGATCCTTTTCACATGTACTGCTCTCAAGCCAGGTGTCACCCATCTTGTATTTGTGCCTCTCATTTTTTTGCCCAAGTGCAATACTTTACATTTCTCCCTGTTAAAGTTCATCTTGTTTGTTTTGGCCCAGTTCTCTAATCTGTCAAGGTCATTTTGAAGTGTGATCCTGTCCTCTGGGGTGTTAGCCACCCCTCCCAGTTTGGTGTCATCTGCAAATTTGATCAGGATGCCCTTGAGTCCATCATCCAAGTCGTTGATAAAGATGTTGAATAAGACCGGGCCCAAGACAGAACCCTGTGGCACCCCACTAGTCACTCTTCTCCAGGATGAAGAGGAACCATTGATGAGCACCCTTTGGGTTCGGTCAGTCAGCCAGTTACAAATCCACTGAGTGGTAGCATAGTCAAGACCGCATTTTACCAGCTTCTTTACAAGAATATCATGGGGCATCTTGTCGAATGCCTTGCTGAAATCAAGGTAGGCTACATTCACTGCGTTCCCTTCATCTACCAGGCTTGTAATTCTGTCAAAAAACGAGATCAGGTTAGTCTCACATGACTTATTTTTCAGAAATCCATGCTGACTATTGGTGATCACAGCATTCCTTTCTATGTGCTCACAGACTGTTTGCTTAATGATCTGCTCCAGAATCTTCCCTGGTATTGATGTCAGACTGACTGGGCGATAATTATTTGGGTCCTCTCTTTCCCCCTTTTTGAAAATAGGGACTTTTTGTTCATATAT